ATTTTGTGTTCATTTGACTGTTTCTTTTCCTGAACTTCAGCAGGTGACCTTGGTATTAATAATAGCAATATAATTAATTAATAGCAGCATAATTAATAGTAATATAAGACTTTTTTTTCCCTGAAAATGAGTCATTGAGGTATTATTTTCTTTCCCCTGGCTTCATGTTTCCTTCCTAGTTGATCCTATTGCTTTGACAAGCCAAATTTAGGAGTTACACATTTTGTTTTGTCAAGTGTATATAAGTTGAATGTAGCTAGGACAGCTCATCTGCATACATACACACACACACAAACACACACACACACACACACACACACCATTCAAATCTCTGAAGAACTGCATTATCTGGAAGATAATCTCTGAAGAGAGGCCATTATCTGGGTTGTTTTTCTTTACCATCTGGAAAAGCAAGTCAATTCATGAAAACCTATTGAAGTCACTTGAAAAATTAGCACCTACCATTTGGCTCCTCTTAGGAGGAGACCAACATTTGCTTCTCTTAGGTAGGACAATCAAAATGTTTTCAGGGGGGTTGGGAGATGGCTCAGTGAGTAAAGTGCTTGCTATGCCAGCATGAGGACACTAGTTCAGATCTCCAGAATCCATGTTTCCAAGGCCAGATGTGGCAGCATGTCCTTGTAATCCAAGTATTGGGGAAACAGAGGCAAAAATACCATTGGGAAAAGTGGCTCATCTCTTCCTGCTCTTCCTGAAGACCCAAGGTTATTTCTCAGCATCCAGGATAAGCAGCTCACAAGCACCTGTAACTCCAGCTCCAGAGATAGCTAATGCCTCTAGCCTCTGTGGGCATCTGCACCTCGTGTGTACATGTGTGTATGCAGACACTCACACACACACACACACACACACACACGCACAAACATAGATACACACACATGTGTACAGACACACACAGAGACACAGACACACAAACAGACACACACATATACAAATACATACACACATACAAGTACAGAGACAGAAACATATAAATATATATATATATATATATATATATATATTTTTTTTTTTTTTTTAAAGGTGGAGACATCAGACACACTCTTCTGGCCTCTATACATTGGCACATGCACAGACAATCATGTACATACCCACATACTCACCCACATGAATACACACACACAAACACACGTAAACACACAAAAGCTTTCTGATTGTCACCAAAAGTCTCATGAGAGTGGATAAAGTCACTCCATGTTGGAAAGAAGCATTCTAGAAGAAGCAACCGCTCACTGTGTTAATCATTTGGGCAGGATTCCAAGTATCTATGGACATGCAGGGAGGACAGGGAGCTTCTCTGGCCACATATCTGTGGCTGGAACCTTTCATAAATAGATCAGTCTCAACTGAACTTGAGCAGAGTGTCACTGAAGGGATGTGACAGTCATAGCTGCAAGCTAATAGTGGATAGACTCAGATCCTTTTGGACAGGATAGTTCGTGAACAGAATATACACCAATCCTCCATTTTCAGCAGTGACTTCAAAGTCGTTGTGTTTCCTTTTGTGCTTCCCTTTCTTCTTCTGATACCTTCTGTGGTAGACATCCTCAGGCAGAGAAATGGAATTCTTCACAGTTCATTGGGAGTCCTGGAGAAACTCTTTTCTCCTAAGGAGTCTGTGGTCTCAATGACGATTTACCGAGAGCATAAAATGGAGATGTTCATTTGAACTTTTTCTAATTTACGGTACCTAGTTTTACTTGGAGTCAGCAGAAGGTTTACTCCAGGTTCCATCAATGAGATGGTGAGAGTTAAGTTATAGGCTGGCGCGAGTGTGAGTGCACGTGTGTAGTGTGAACTCACACACATTTGAATGTACACATGAAGGGGCAAAGGTGGACAATTGGTGTCTTCCTAGCCACTCTCCACCTTACATAGCTGTTTGTTTACTTACAGCAGTCTCAGGGATTGAACCTAGGACTTTGTGCATGAGAGATGAAAGCTCTACCACTGAGCTCTTCTAGCCCCAGTCCTTCTACCCTAGTTTTTGAGACAGGGTCTCTCACTGATCCAGGACCTCATCTATTTGGCTGGTCTGCCTGGCCAGTGAGTATCAGCTATTCAGTCTTAAACCCGGGACCAATGGCTGAGATGCCTATTTAACACACCAAAGTGGACCTGGCCTCCAGGTTCTCTCAGCACCCCTCAGTTCCTACCTGTTACAGGGCATGGCTGGCACCAGTCCCCTACCCCAGCTCTCTAGCCCCAGGACTGGGCTGCCCTTCCCTGTATAATACAACCATTTTGGTTACCTGCCCTCTTCTGGTCTATCTTTACCTTTCTAACCTCTTGATCTGGTTTCTCCCCTCTCCCCTCCCTTCTCCCTCACCTCCTCATAAGGCCAGGCTCAGGGTCACGTTCACTCTGGACTCTCCCAGATGTCCCTGCCTCTGGCTACTCTCTCCCTTTTATCTACAGTAAACTTTCTTCTCCACCATACCTAGGAGCAGCCATGTCCTTTCTTTTTTGTCTTTTTTTTTTTTTTTAATTATTCATCACCTGTCTGCTTCACAGGGCTGGAATTACAAGTGTGTGCCATCTTGCCTGGCTTTTTGCATGGGTGCTAGATATTAAACTGGGGCCCTCCTGCTCACCAGGCTTTTGCTGACTGAGCCATCTCCTCAGCTCCTCGACTGGAGCTTTAATCTGTAGGAAGTTCCCATGGGTCTAGCCCCACAGGGTGGGTCCCGGTGCTGATGCTGGAGGAAGTCTCTGCTGCCTTCTCCCAACCTTGTTAAGGTTTTCCTCCTTTGCTCTTATCAGGGTGACCCTGCCCTTTAACACAATAAAACCCAAACAATGAGAAAGCACTGGGGAGACTTAGACCCTAAGAACCACAAAGGAAGGAAATTCTGAGTTTCTGCTTTTTCTTGGGGTCTCATTCAGTGGGTCCTAGTATTATCAAAAGATTGGGGGAATCGTTATACACTCCCCAGTGTATAATTACCAACAAGGATGTCATTAGCAGCTTAGATTCTTAAAATAACACCACCTTTGAACTTGCAGGTAAGATGAAGTCACAGAGTATTAGCTAGGATGTCTTAGAACTTTTGGAAATGAATTAAGTACACGTAAAATTAAATATAGCAATATAGTCAGGTAGCTGTAATGTCATTAGTCTTTGACCAATTTAAGTTTGGTCCAGTTAATACCTAAAGTTGTGCTTACATATCCTGACCTATTTCTGGTTTTGTTTATATATTATCTAATAGCTTAAAAATGTGTAATTTTGTATATGTGTGTCTGTGTGTAGGTATGTGCATGAGAGTTCATGTGCTCATGGAAGCATGTGAGGCATCAGATCCCCTGGAACTGGAGTTTATGAGTTATGAGCCATCACATATAGGTGTTGGGAACCGAACTTAGGTCCTCTGCAGAGAGAATCTCTTATTAACATCACCTGTCAATGAAAAAGCCAATGGCCAATGAGCTGAGGCAGGAAATAGGAGATGGGACACTGGCAGGAAGAGAGAGGATTCTGGGAAACAGTAAGAGAATAAAAGGAGATCTAGGGAGTGATGAGGGAGAGATTCAAGAGAGATGCTGGGGGAGACATTGAGGAAGACGGGAAGGAAGAAGCAGGCCAGGACTGAAGGAGAAGTAAGAAACCATGTGGAAGACATAGCCTAGTTTTAATGGGCTACATAAGTTACAAGCCCCTCTGGCTTGGCAGCAAACACCTTTAACTGCTGAGCCCTCTGGTCTCTCCAGCTCCAGTTCTGTCTGTTTTCTTTTTGTAAGTCAGTTGTAACTCAAGTGTAATCTAGCACTGCAGGGTTTACTGTGGCATGTGAGATAGTCATAATAACATTATGTTCCGAATTCTCTAGGACAAAACTGAAAGTTTGAGTTTCCCTAACTCTGCAAATTTGTAACCTAGGTGGAAAATTACATTTCACTCAGACATTCTCTAATGCTCTGAGGTATTGCAATAAATGAGTAAGGAAATTCAGAGCACGCCCCATCCTGGCACTTCTTATTAGGCATGTAACATTCCTAAATGAAAGTAATATCACAGAGTAATTTGGTTATTAAGGCAGTAATAGCATATCTTGTCCTGGTTATAAAGTTACCTTTCGAGAATAGTCCACCCCCACCATTTTAATAGCCGTATCAAGAAAGGTGCATAATGAATTTTCTCTGAAGAAATTGGCTGGCTCTACACTTGTTCTTCTATCTGATTTTTACCATTATGCTGAAGGGTTGATAGCAAAGTCTTATCCTTGGGGCTCACGAGCCCAAAGATTTCACATAAATATTTGATGAACCGAGTCTTCTCAAGTCACTTCTAGAAGGACATTCTAAGTGCCATTCCATAGGTGGTAGAATTATAGTTGATTAAATAAAATTTTCCCTTAGGGGCTGAAGGGATAACTCAATAGTAAAGAGCTTGTTTAGCATGTATAGGTTTTGACTTCGATTCTCAGCACTTCAGAGACATTTTTCTTTGTACTTTTTTTTAAAAATTAGTAACTAATATGTATTATTGTGTTCTCTCTCTTTCTTTCCTTTTTCCTTTCTCTCTTTCTCTCTCTTTCTCTCTTTCTCTCTTTCTCTCTTTCTCTCTCTCTCTTTCTTTCTTTCTTTCTTTCTTTCTTTCTTTCTTTCTTTCTTTCTTTCTTTCTTTCTCCTCTCCTCCTTCTTCTTTGGTTTTTCAAGACAGGCATTCTCTGTGTAGCTCTGGCTAGCTTGGAACTTACTCTGTGGACCAGGCTGGCCTCAAACTCGGAGATCTACCTGCCTCTGCCTCCTGAGTACTGGACATTCTTGTGTATTTTGCAAGCATCATTACAAGAAGATGAATGGATTAAGATTCCTACCTGTTTCAATTGAACAGATCATAGACTTCCAGCATTTTTTTGATCCCAAGAAGACATGTAATTTTTTTTATCTTGGCTTGGAAATATAGTTTTGTCATACCAATGAGGAAGTAACTAATACAATATCTCACCTAGAGATTAAAAGAAATATCCATCTCTTTGTAGCCAACTAAGATGATCATTGCTCTCTTCATGGGAGCCTGATGAGCATCGGTTGCAAACACTAATCTCCATGATAGTATCCACCGCCTGCTGACAATATGGGTTGCCCTAAGAGACCTTGGAGACAAATTTCTACTGGATCTTCATGTCTCTGGTCTCAATGCTGTCCCCAACCCAGGCTCTAGACAGTTATGCAGGTTGCCTTTTAGAAGCTCAAAGGCACAGTGACCAGGGTACATATTGGCCAAGTCATCTTGTCTAGCCACACCAAGTTGCCAAATAAGAAACAGGTCACTGAGGTCCTGAATAGAGCCTAGTTCAACTTCCTTACTTGACAGAAGAGGCACCAGTCAAAGAAGTGAGGCTTCACCAAGTTTAATGCAGATGAATTAAAACACATGGTAGCTGTGAAGTGGCTCAAACCTGGTATCTGTTGGGTCAAATATATCCCCAGTCATGGTTCCCTGGGCAAATAGAGGGCCCTGAACTACTAAGGGCTTCCACTGTGCTATTCTATACCCCAACTGAATCTTGTTCAGTAATAATCTCATATCCAGTGTGTCTAAGAAAAACATCCATCCTCAAATTGGTCTACACCAGGTAGAACTGATCCTGGATCTTGTTGCTTTAGCACCCCTGGTTATGGTATCCTCACCACTTCTGATCCTGCCTCCCACACTGTATATGCTTGGCCCAGAGAGTGGCACTATTAGGAGGTGTGGACTTGTTGGAGTAGGCGTGGCTTGTCACTGTGGGTGTGGGCTTTAAGACCCTCATCCTAGCTGCCTGGAAGCCAGTATTCTTTTAACTGCCTTCAGAACAAGAGGTGGAAGTCTCAGCTCCTCCAGCCCCATGTCTGCCTGGGCGTTGCCATGTTCCTGCCTTGGTAATAGTGGACTGAACCTCTGAACCTGTAAGCCAGGCCCAATTAAATGTTGTCCTTTGTAAGACTTGCATTGGTCATGGTATCTCTACACAGGAATGGAAAACCTAACCAAGACACATACCATTACAACCACCTGCTTATGTTATTGGATATGTTTATTTGTTGCAGTAAATCTCCAACCCAAGAAGGCTTGATCAATAAAAACACAACTCAAATATTTTGAATACAAACTGCACCCCTGGATTGGGCAGATCTACCACTACACCACTCTATTCCCCATCTATGAGATCCCTTGTAACTTGCGGTTTTTCCAGGCTACGTGCTTCTCCTCCATTGTCCTTCCACTTTCCTTTCCATCGTCCTCCTCCTCTCTTCTCCCCAACCTTTTCGCTCCATCTCCCCTCTACTGCCTAATTACCAGCTCTAGCCTTCATTCTACAAGTGAAGGTGGGCAGAAGGTTCATAAGAGGTCACCTGTGTATGCTGATTCACTCCTCATCTTCAACCCCTCCCAGGAAAGTGGAATTAGCATCAAAATACAAGGCCAGGGCTACCCACAACATTTATTCTAAGAATATGTTGGGAGTATTTATTGTTCATCACAGAGCACAAAATCCTGTGCTCGTAAGATCTCCTTATTCTCAGCCATGGAATAAGCTTTTACTCTTATTTCGAGAAACTGGCTCATTTTTGCCTCATTTTGCAATGATTTGTGTATCAGGTTGAATTGTCTTCATGACATGAAATTTCTATAATATCCTCAATTTCTATTTTACCTTATTTTGTAACCATAATTTTTTCTTTGTTCCAACTTCATCATTAACTATTTTTCTATAATCAACTTATTTTTTTTTCAGTACTGGCAATTGAATGCAGAGCACATACTAGGTAAATGGTCTGTCACTGAACTGTATTCCCAGCCTATCTTATTTTAAATTTTATTCTATCTTGTATTTTTTGAAATTCCCTAATTTTTCATAAGGTCCTTGAAATCTATTTTTGAAAAATGGGTAAATGTGGGTCATAAACACACACACATACACACACACACACACACACACACACACACACACACACACAGAGAGAGAGAGGTCTTTTTGCTGCTAACTGCTTTAAGTTTATCTAGGACTTAGCTAAGTTTTTCTAAAACTCTCTTCATCCTATTCTTTCTCTCCTTTCATTATCATTTCGTGTATATGTGTATGCTTGTGTTTACTTGGGGACATGTTTGTGTTCCGGTGCATGTGTGCATGTATGCATAGAAGTCAGAGGAAAACCCCAGGTGTTGCTGAGGGACATTGTCAAACTCTTTTGAGGCGGTATCTCATACTGGCCTGAAATTCATGGGTTGGGCTGGATGGCCAACAAGTCCCAAGGATATGCTTGTCTTCCTCTCCCCAGTGCTGGGATTATTCGTGTGAAATGCCATGCCTATCTTTTAAGACGGGTTCTGGAGATGGAACTCAGCTCCACATGCTTTGCACAGTGCCCTGGCTAGTTTCATGTCAACTTGACACAAGCCAGAGTTATCTGAAAAAGGAGGAAACCTCAGTTGTAAAAATGTCTCCGTAAGGTCTAGCTGTAATGCATTTTCTTAATCAGTGATTGATGGGGGAGGGTCTAGCCCATGGTGGGTGGTGCCATCCTTGGGTTGGTGATTTTGGGGTTTATAAGAAAGCAGCCTGAGCAAACCATGGAGAGCAAGCCAGTGAGCAGCACCCCTCCATGGCCTCTGCATCAGCTCCTGCCTCCAGGTTCCAGCCTCGTTTGAGTTCCTGTCCTGACTTTCTTCAGTGATGGACTACAATATGGAACCTTAAGTCAAATTAACCCTTTCTTCCCCAATTTCCTTTTTTGCTCATGGTGTTTCATAACAGTAATAGAAACCCCAACAAGGGCACACACTAAACACTTGACCAACTGAGCCATCTCCTGAGCACCGTCTTTTCCTTTCTTGAAGACTTTTAGTTGCTCTCCATCCTGTTCAAACTCTGGGGAGCCCTCCTTATTGTAACCTCTTTGTATTTCTGTAATAACAGACTCTTAAAGTTATTGCAAGTTTAGGCACTTGAGTGTGGTGCTTTCTATGCATTGATTAAAGATAACCTAGTCTTTTTCAATTGGGTTTTTGATTCCATGCTTAGCCCCTGGAGAAACTTTGAAGAGGATAACAATATTAAGACATTTATTTCACGCCCCTCAAGGTGGGTAAAACGAGGAAGGTGAGACAGAAATAATGTGAGAGCCAGAGGAAGGGGCGGAGTGTGGTGGAATGCTGTCTTCTGAGCATGACGTGGCTGTGGCATTTCTGAATGCAAGATGTGACAACCCTGCACAAGATTGATGATCCATCTACAGGCTGTCACAGGTGGGTGGTGCAGTGATGTCCTTATCATGTCCTCAGGACCTCGGGGCTGTTAATGGTTGCCAAGAAAGAGGGAATTTTCTTAGTGGTGTAGTCATTGGTGAGGTGCCCACACTTCTGTAAGATACTAATTAAATTCACACAAGCAACCAAACAAAAGTGCAAGGAACAGAAAAGTATCTAGGAACAGGAAGAGGAACAGTGGGCAGAGAAGGGAGACAAGACAGGGTAATAGGGAGTAATATGAAAAAAGTTCATTATAAGCCGTGTGGAATGTCACGATGAAGCCAGTTGTTATATATAATTGATATATTCTCAGAATTTTTTTGCTGTTTCTTTATTTGTTATTGTCTGGAGTCAGACTTAGAAGTAGAAGCTCCCAGAGAGTCTACGTCTCTTGACAATCTGCTCCTGGTGCTTCTCTTTGAATTCTAAACTTTGGCAAAAAGATAAGTGTCATGGTTTGTATATGTTTGGCCCAGGGAGTGGCACTATGAGAAGGTGTGGCCTTGTTGGAGTAGGTGTGTCACTGTGGATGTGGGCTTTATGACCTTCACCCTAGCTGCCTGGAAGCCAGTATTCTGCTAGCAGCCTTCAGATGAAGATGTAGAGTTCTCAGCTCCTCTTGTTCCAGGCCTGCCTGGCTGCTGCCATGTTCCCGCCTTGACAATAATGGATTGAATCTCTGAACCTGTAAGCCAGCCCCAATTAAATGTTGTCCCTGTTAGGGTTGCCTTTATCATGGTGTCTGTTCACATTAGTAAAACCCTAACTAAGACAGTAAGCATATTCTACAGCTTTCTCCTTATTTTTCTTAGTGCATTGTTTGTTCAGAGCAATAAGTCTACATTGGTGTTTCTGGAGACATGGAATAACAAGTGCTTTGGTCCTAGACTTCTTACCTTCCTTGTTTAAGGCCTTTCTGACAACATATTGGTGGGCATCAACTTCTTTAGAGGTACTGAAAAGCTTTTGGATTCTGGGTGCTTGTTTGGGTCCCAAATGCCTTGGCACAGTAGTATCTGTCAGTCCAGAAGCATCCTTCTCTCCTTTGTAAATACTAACATTTTTTATAAAACAGTAACCAAATTGAGATCACTCATATTAGCATCTGCCATGCATCCATGAATAGACTGGCACTTTTATTCCCCTTGACCTCTAACAAGAATGTCCCTTTATTCAACAGCAGACACTCTGCTGTGGGTCCAGACGCCTTGCTTCATGAAAAAAATCATTCCCACCACAGATTCGGACCACAAAACCCTACCAGTCTTCACACAGCATCAGCAGCTCCTTTGGTGGCTGTGACTAGACAGAGAGAAGCTTTTGTTCATTGTCCACTTCAACGAGTTTCTGCGAGCCAGTTACCCAGCGCCATCTTGACATGGATGACTGCCTAGGAGGTGCCGTAAAATATTTTTGAAAGTGAAAGTATTAAGGGTAAATATATGCTTAGTGTCAAGATTCAAAGAGGTACACATTGCTCTGCCTTTGGTAAACTCACATTTTTTTGGGAATAAGGATCTATACACAGCAAGATTAATGCTAAGCACACTAATGCTCATTCCGTATGAGAAGTTTGGACAGTAAGCATTGGATTTAGATCATCAATGTGCTCTAATAAGTTGTGTGTTGGAGGCTTGGTCTCCAGTTTCAGTTAAGACATTTGTTTCACTCCCCATAAAGCAGGTAAGATGGGAAAGGTAAGACTGAAATAATGAGAGAGCCAGAGGAAGCAGATACCACTGTTGGCAGGATGAAGAACTTTCTGGAGGGGTGCTCAGTAGAAGGAAGCTGAGAGTGTGTAGTGGAAGGGGAGATTAGGTTCCTGGTCTGGCCTTGTCTCCTGGCCATTATGAAGTGAACAGCCCTCCTCCCC